GATGGAAAAATGGCACACTGCCAGGGAGAGCGCTAGATGACAAAAAGTGACAAAAGATATATCTTTTTCTCCCATTTATTCATATTTTACTTTGCAGAAACAACACTATTTTATTTTATCAAAAACCCTGCTATTTGTCATGTGGGGACACCGATGATTAACAGTCTGAGATTAAGGATTTTTTTCATTGCCAAATACTGTATGTGTGATGCAAAAGGTTTTTCACAATAGTCTGATCCTTGATACTGAAAAAATACTTAAAGAAGCTAAAAGAGTTGCTTCAGAAACATGTTTCAGTAGCATCCTTTCACTAATTGAAACATTCCTGTGCACTGGTCAGCTCCCACCAGTTTCCTTTATTATTCCTCCATTAAGACCAAATCCCAGAGCCGTTAGGAGTGCAGTCCCATGCACTAATTGACCTAGGGGGCCTGCTGCTGGATGTAATGAGAGCTGACATCAGGTGCCGGTGGGAAAGCATGCTTGCTTCTGCATGTCCCAACGGCCTCTTTTTGAGGTCGTGTCTCCCAGAGAGCTCAGGCAAAGCCTCTGTGCAAGTGTATGGGCACATGTGTGTGCATATGAATGGGATGAGAGAATTGCCCTATATTAATATGGAACATTAAATATAAATGACAGGGAATGTAATATGAAAAGACAGAGAAGTAATTCAAATGAAATGACCTATTGCTATAAACCATTACTGGCTTTAAGAAAATATACAACAGTAAAATGTGAATCTTTTGCTTGCATTTTATGAACTTGCTCATAGACATGTGCTGGCATTGCCTTCCATGTCCTGTTAAATGTGTTGAGTGATTGCAGAGCCCATCAACATAATAGCAGTTGCCACACAATGTTAGTTTGAGCACAAAGCTGCAGCCATCATCGGTTATCTACATGTAATCCAGATGACTGTTTCCAGCAGGCACAAGGATTTAAGTTAATAATTTACATCAAGGGTCAAAATGAAAAAAAAAATCCTATTAGAGAACAAAATATTTTTATGAAACACATGGATCAGAACAGAAATTGAGGTATGTAAAAGTGATGTTATGTCATGCTGTGAAGGAAATCTTTCTGAAGTTAATAGGGATTGTTTATGCATTAAACTATAGGCATCCCTGCATTCTTAACATGCTATAATTCCAAAATATGGCTATTTTTCAATAATCGTCTTGAATAAACTGTTATCACTCTCCCTTATTTTAAGACCTATGATCAAAAAGAAATTCTGACACAGTGGTTATCAAATTCTAGTTCATCTTTTAATTTGTTTTCCGAATGCCAGCCCCCCCTATCTTTTAGAAATATCTCTTGTATTCAAAAGGAAGGAAGGATGACACAGGAAGAAAATCCTATGTCAGTTATACAGCATGTGCATGTGGCTGTGTACATACAGTGGGTACGGAAAGTATTCAGACCCCCTTAGATTTTTCACTCTTTGTTATATTGCAGCCATATGCTAAAATCATTTAAGTTCATTTTTTTCCTCATTAATGTACACACAGCACCCCATATTGACAGAAAAACACAGAATTT